CCCACTGCAACACACACCGTTCGGTGTGTGGGGTGATCGGGCGCCGGCGGGGCCGCGGTCATGGGCGCGACTAAGGAACGGTGTACCGGGGAGGAGGGAAGGTCACCGGGGCTATCGGGGAGAGGGGCATATGTGGGGCAACCCATATGTGTCCCCACGAGACAGTCGTTAGGGCAGGAGGGACACAGTTGCGTGTCTCCTGTCCTTGACGAGGGGCAGCCTGGTGGTTTGCACGCCACCGGGCATTGCACGCTCCTTGTCCTGTCTGGGGGGTGAGACTCGAATGTTCCTGAGCCTCCCCCCTAACCCGAGAGGGAACCTGCCCCGTCTGGGCGGGTTCTTTGAGGGCGGTACTGTGGTGAATGGCCTCGTGCCGACCCCACGGCCGTCCTCTTTGTGAGGGACATCGGCAGGTTTTAGTGGGTAGGCCCCGACCGTCTGCCGGGGAGAGCCCCACATCACCCGTGGACCACGCGCTGTGGGAAGCGGGTATGCAATTTCATGCATTTCCTTCCGTCAAAAAAAAAAAAGGCAGAGGTGGGCTGAGGTGCAATGTCTGGCAACCTCCTCGTGGTGCACCCTGGGCAACGTGGCCGCTCAAAGTAGCTTTGAGCCGCCACGGCTAATGTCAGACGACGTGTGGGCAACGGAGTTCTGTCTCCGACACGCGAGAAGTCTCGCGAGTGTGGGCCCTGACGGTAAGTCGGGAAGCGGCAGCGCGGTTCGGGCTGGGCGGGCGTCCCGGGCATCCCGGGTAGCGGCCGTGCCAGCGAGGGCGGTGGGCCTGGCGAGTCACGGAGGCGTGAGCGTCGGGTGCTGTTTTGTTCAGCAACCACCGGCCGACCCCGTTACTCCGCAAGCGCGGAGCTGGGGCGGGGGCTGCCCTTAATAGGGTGACCCCAAGAGGAGACAACCTCAGTAAAAAACAGCTAGCCCAAGGTAGACGCGACCGAGGGGTTTGTGGCTGGGAGCTTTTCCCAGTCGCGACGCGTCCTCTGGAGGTGGGGAACAGGCGCCCCCCACCTTCACAACCTTAGCCTAGCCAAGATACTCGGCTCTGTCTTGGTGGTCAGCCGATAGCGTTTTACTCGTGGGACAAACATGGAGAATTTAAATAAAATATTACAACCCTGTTATGTCGTTTTGGAGGGGTCTAGCTCGACCGGAAGTGAGCGCAGTGACAATGCTGTTCTAGATTCTTCGCACAGAGGGGATGGGCCCAGCGCGGGCGGAAGAGCGCGTAGCGCGGATACAGGTTCCTCACAGAACCTAGCTGGGACGAGCTCACCGTTGGGATCTCCTGGCATAAACAAAGACTCTCCTAAGAGTCATGATAGTCGAGTCGACTCCAAGGTTTACTTAGACTTTCTTCAGCGCCAAATCCAAAGTGAAAACGATACGCTTCCAACAGTCGTGGCGAAAACTTTTTTGAACTTGAGCGTGGATTAAAGTCTCCGCACACAAAACAAAATAAATCTGGCGAATTTTTACACTTCCTGGGCATTGTCTTAAACAATTTAATGCAAAAACAAGGAAAAAAAATGAGATGTGTACGAGTTAACGACGTAAATGCAAAGTGTCAAAATATATCACTAATTGACGGTACTTTTACCTAACCAAAACAACAGCTGACGTAGTTATTAATCAGAATGTGGGTAGTTTAATTCAGAACACCTATAGGAGGAATAAATAACAGTTAGTTGCGATATGCGATAAGTTAATGAGAAGAAAACAATTTTTTAAGTGGTCAACTGGTCGTTTTTTGGTCATTTAAAAAAAAAACATATTTTCGTAATCGGACCTGAGGATTTTTTTTCAGTATTTTTCTAAGGATATACTTACTAATAGGAACCAAAATATATAAGTTTTATTTCAGAGCAAAAACCATTGTCGGCTAGAATTAATATAAATGTAATAATCGCAATATGTGCAAATAAATAATTTGTAAGTAACCGTTAAACTAGGAGGATTAATTAAAATATAAAATTTCAATTCAATAACAGTATCAATTAGTACAACTGCATAATAATAATAATAATTAGGCATTGGCATCACAACATCAAAAAAACAGTAATTCATATAAATGTTATAATCACAATATATGCATCTAAATAATCTGTAATTAATTTGTAACAATTTGTAAATAATAAGATATGTGAATGGTTCCAATAAATCCTTTCTCACATGTTTATCACTACAAGAAGTACTATAACAAAATAAATATAACACAATCGCTTCACACGCATACCATAATATGCAGTAAGTTATACGTAACACGGTACATAAATAACAGATATTCAATAGGTAGCTTAGTCCGATAGCGCAAGTTATTAAAAACCGGAGAACAAGCGAATGGTGATTCTTAACATGGAACGCAATAGCAAACAACATTACATTCAAACAAAAGACATGCACAACTATGAGTATCTAAAAGTCATAGCTATGTTTCCTCACTGATACGACATTCGACAAACATGAATTTATACAAAAAATTTAGAGATATCGTTCTCAGTACGTATTTGGAAAATTTGCTGGCCGTCATTTTTACGCGCGAGTATTCTTTCATTTCGAGACCAAACGTACCTCCTAGGGTGGGTCGAAAAATTTTTTTTTAAGTATTTGATTTCTAATAGTGAAAATATGTTGAAGTTAGGTGTCGTTATATACCCTTTAAAATATCATTGGAATGTTTTAAGTGGAACAGCCCGCGCAACACTCTTGAAGTTTTGAAAAAAAAAAGTTCAAGTACCCACTTTTACACCTTAAGTTACATGTTTGACGTTGAGTTTATTTAATGTTTTACTTGTTATCGATTGAAATACACGTTATTTTTGCTATATAAACTGTGTTGTTTGTTAAAAGAAGATTATTTGAGGTAAGTACATTCAGAGAATTCATGTATCAAAGTGGTTAGTTTCTTGTGAAGATGTAATTTGAGTATTTTTTGTTTTAGAACCTGGATGTTAATTTTTTCCATCATGTCTAATAATAGACAGTCATACGAGTGCCCTATACTATAGAAGATTTAAAAGAAAATGCGTTACCAACATATCAGGATGCCATGCAATATTACGAGTAAAATAGAGTACAGGTAAAAATTAATAATGGCAATAACAAAGAGCCCACGTTTTCCGAAATTGCAGAAATTGTAACCAAGAAAGTGGAAGGAGTATGGCAAAAAGCATCAATCCCTGTAGTCTCGCGTACAAGAGTAATTCAGCTCCTGAAAGCTTATCATTCCAAATGCAAAAATATTATTAAATCATTAAAAAGATTGTCAACTGAGAAAAAAACTGAGTTCTTGAAGAAAAGTGAAATTTTATTCGACATTTGTTCATGCAAATGCAAGATATTAAGTCAGTGCAATTGTCCCAGATCAGTTAAAGTTCCTAAAGAAGAACACGACTTTTTGATTGATCAACGAGGTGAGAGAAAAATGAGAATCGGCGGCATTGATCGCAATCGAACAAAAAGTTTGCAAAAAAAGTTTGTTCGAAAGCAAGCTTCAACAAAAATCTGTATGAAGAGCGACAACAACCAATCCATAATGCCAGAACAAGAATTAATGTTATCAACAAGTAGTGATTCTGATACAAATGTTTCATATCCGGAAAAGTTACACAAATATATAGAAGAGCCCTTACCATCTACCTCAGGAACAATGGAAAATAAGATATGCGTGAAAAGTTTACCCGTTTTGTCGCAAATATGTGACCGTTATGGAGTATCCGATAGAGCTGGTGCTGCGATTGCTTCTGCAGTTTTACATGAACTTTCGTCAGATATCGTTATAGATAAATCAAAACTGCGAAGAGAGAGAAGGAAAACACGTGACGCGCTTGTGAAGACTCAAGCGCCTTTAAACTTGCCTGCTTTATATTTTGATGGTCGGAAAGATAAAACCCTGACGATTGTTACAAAGGGAACCAAAAGGTACAAGCAAGTAGTTATTGAAGAACACGTTTCTGTAATTAAAGAACCTGATTCCATTTATGTAGGGTATGTGACGCCATCACAAGGAACTGCAAAGACTTTTGACATATCAATAAATGCTCTTCTTTTCTCCAAAAATATTAGTACCGATGACCTCTTGGCAATTGGATGCGATGGAACAGTGATAAATACGGGTAAATTTAGTGGTGTCATAAGGCTATTTGAAAAAAGACTTCAGAGACCTTTGCAATGGATAGTTTGCATGCTGCATTTAAATGAACTGCCTCTGAGGCATTTGTTTGATTACATAGATGGTAAAACTTCTGGTCCATCTACGTACAATGGTCTTATTGGTAAGTTGCTGGATAAGAGTGAAACGCGAGCTGTAGTTGAATTTGAGTCAATACCAGGTCAATTACCAACGCTAAAACCGGAAAACTTAAGCACAGACCAAAAATATTTGTATGAAATCACATTAGCTGTAGTTACTGGAAGTTGTTCTGATGACTTAGCAAATAAATCACCTGGAAAAATGTCACATGCCCGTTGGTTGACTAAGGCAAATCGGATCTTGCGTCTTTACATTTCTTCTCCAAAACCATCAACAAATTTAATTATTTTGGCTCAATATATTGTTAAAGTGTATGCCCCCGTGTGGTTCCAAATAAAGACACACTCATCGTGTAAAGACGGATCACGACACCTTTGGAAATTGATTGAAAGTTCGCGATTTTTATCATGTGCATTAAAATCAATCATAGATCCTGTTATTCAACGAAATGCATATTTTGCTCATCCTGAAAATTTGCTTTTGGCAATGTTAACAGACGAAGAAAAGCATATAAGAGAACTTGCAGCTATAAGAATGCTAAAAGCGCGTAATTCACCTTCAATGGAAAAACTACCACGCACTTTTGAAGTCCCTAAACTTAATTTTGATGCTAAATGTTATATTAATTTAATAAACTGACAAGAAACCAACTTTGATCCACCTATTCTAAGAAATCAAACGAATGATGAACTTATTCAAATTATAGATAAAAATGGTGACGAAAGGATGTTGTTTATTAGGCTGCCTTGCCATACACAAGCAGTTCAACGAAGTGTAAAGATAGTAACAGAAGCTGCAATTTCAGCATGTGATAAAAAAACAAGAGATGGTATGATTCATGCAAAACTAGCTTAAATAAACGACGAACACGTGCCGCACGCAGCCACTCGTCGCGCGTTATTTGACGAGCGAAACGCACTATAATATTGCGCGGCCGCTGCTGGGCCGAATCCCCGCCGACTCCAGTGGTGACGTCATTTACTGAGACTCTGTTGCGCAGCGCAGAACCGATCCGCTCCGCTCGAACTATGTCGCGCTCGTCAGTCGCGATTCCCAGTTTCATGGACAGAACTTTAATGATATTCATTATGTTTTCACCGCCCCGTTCTGGGATGCCAGCAATATCGACATCGTTTGAATAAAGTTCTTGGTCTTTATCATTCAACTGTACTTTAAGTTGCGTAATTGCTCCCTCCAAGGCCACCACCCCTGCAGATGATTTATTCATCGCATCCTCCAGTGCAGTAATCCTGCCATCCATAGAATCAAACTTTTTAGGGAAGATTTAAATCTGCAATCTCCATGGATCTCGGCTCTCATGGCACTTAGTTCATTCCTAAATGATCGAACTTCCAGCACTAGGTCTAGCTTTAATTCCTCCGTAATATTATGTGCGGTGCCATCCAGGTGAGTAGGACTTACGGGCTCATAGACTGGTCCGATTCCTTTTAAGGGAGTCGAAGTATTATCTGCCCTCGGGATTTTCAATTTACAGCCGGGGCACATCTAACTATTAAATGCAGCCGAATTAGGGACGCCCACGCAAGCCTTGTGGAAAGAGACATTGCATTTATTACATCGTATGCACTCACTTTGAGAGAGAAACTTTCTACATCCTCCGCATTTCACCATTATAATTTTATTTATTCGGCTACAGAAATCGTACACACAGCGCCCTCTCTCTATAGCAGTAGCAAATGCTGACAAAGATGTACGCCCGAACACGAGTGTATAGTGAATTAGCACTTTATTATTTGTTATTAGTTGAACAGCGGAATAGGTAGACGGCAGCGCTTGAACATTAGTGAACTACAACGTTATTATTATAGATGATTAGCCATGGAGCAAGCAGCACGCACACCATAAGAAGTTACACGTTCACAAATGGCTATTTTATATAGATAGGCACCGAATATGTCACTCAAAGGACTCACTGAAAAATTTTATTTTTTTGAAAATGTTGGGGTACTTATGCACTGCACAGAAAGTTTTCAAATTGAATTTCATGAGTTTGCGGGTTAGAGTTCACAGTTTACCGCTTAGATTACACCCACTTGCAACTTGCAACCTTGCACAATAAATATACTAAGAAAATACAAATAAACGACCGAGTTTTTTTTTTTCGAGTTTATCTGTATAAGATTGTAACCGACTCGACGTCCGTACGTCAATTCTGAGTGTTGTTTCATTAAGCACGGCCGAAGCCGCACGGTCGACGATGGCCGAAGCCACTACCCCCATCCGCCACCCGGGGGACGCGCCTGGTAGCGGGGAAACAACAAAACCGCCCCAGGCACCTTCACAACCCTAGCCTAGCCCGGATATTCGGCTCTGTCCGGGTGGTCTGTACCTCCGTTTTACTCGTGGGACTATAATGGAATTGAATTATTTTAAACTTTTATACGTTCTGGTTAGTGGGCTGAGCTCGGCCTGAAGTGAGCGTGGTGTTGCAGAGGATGATTCTTCGAACAGAGGAGATGGGCCTGGCGCGGGCGGAAGTGCGCAGGGTGATGACAAAGGCCCTTCTTAGAGCCAAGGCCCGGTGAGCTCCTTGTTGAGTAAGCTAGGTTTTGCTAAAGACCCTCCTTAGGGTCAGCGCAATGGTGGTCATGGTGGTGGTGGCAGAGGAAGAAACCCCCTGCCTAAAGTCGGCAAGGTTTCTGGGGTTGTTTCGGAGGATATGAGAAGTGAGGACTCGCACTCTAGAGACCCTTCTCACTCCAGAGACCCCTCCGTAGAGACGGAGAGACCGACTGTGGATGTGACGGACAAGAGCAGATGTGGTTCTTCTGCTACTGGAGATGGTGTATCGTGAATAAGGGAGCATCGCTCTCGCTCTCGCTCTCGTTCTCCAATTGAGGCTGCGGGAGCTACCACGCGCTCGCGTGCAAGGGCGTTGTCAACTGCGGAATCATCGCCGTTACCGAAGTCGGCGACCGCACCAACCAAACCGAACTTGACAATATCAGACAGTAGAGAGGCTGGCATTTCCCCCTCACTGTCGATGATGGATCTGACGGAGCGAACTTGTGAAGGAAACACTCCCGTTTCCTCCCTGGACAAATCGCTGAGTGGCTCAGTCCGCTGGCTGGACGGTAACAAGAAGGGCCCAGTTCACCTTAAATACCCCAACCTGGGCTTACTGGGGAGTTCTGATGCATTGCCCAACAAAGGTGCTTCGGAAACATCTCACGCGTTCCAGCTCGGAATCGAGTGAGGGAAATGGTGGTAGCAAAACTATCCTCACGGATCACACTCACAAAAGGCTGGCAGTGGAAGCACCCTCCGCATCTCCGGTACCTACCTATTCCAGACGATTGCGACTCACTGCACAGGTCGGACGCGGAGAGGACTGGTTCCTTCTTTCGACGACACTCTTCCTCCCCTCAACGCGCGTAAAATACCCCGGCTGAACATCATGTCGGGATTTCTGCGGCCAGTAGGAGGAATCGCAAAGATTCTAAAGCTGTATATGACAGCAGCGATGCCAATCGGAGCGATGATGAAGAACTCCCTTTGTCGGAAAGGAGACCTAATATGCCGGTAGGATTAAAGGCACAACTAGGAAGGCTCTCAACATCAGCACTGACGAATTGAGAAGACTCCTCACAAAAAACTTAACGGTTTCTGCGGAAGAGGAGATCAGGCACCTCAAAGCGGAAAATGTTCGCCTACGTAGGGAGCTCAACCTCATCAGACAGGAGATCGTGGGTCTGAAAAGGGAGAGAGCGGAGAGGGACCTCGCACTGAACTCTGAGGGTGAATCGCGAAGGCAGCGCAAGAAGGCATCGACGGATGTTATCGTTACTGATAGGAGTGCTGTCTCGGACACATGTTGGGTGCTAATTCGGGTCTCTCTAACGAGGCTACCAGCTCCATATTGAGTACCTTGAGTGTCATGATTGAGGAACGTTTCAGGGAGCATCTTAAAGCACTTGAGAGTCGGCTCATTGTGCCAAATCCGCTCCGTCCTCCCTGGAAGTGAAATACTAAGTCTATAGCCTGAAAGTAGAAAATAATTCGTGAGAGAATACTAAGTCATGAAAACATTATCCAAACAATTCAAATTCAAATATTTATAAGTAAAATTATTATAAATACTTACTAACATTTTTTTTTACTTTTTAAGAACTTGTGCACACCTCAATATACTCGATGAAGGTTGGGGCAGCGGTGTGAAGTATGTGGAGTGGCAGCAGCGCTCTTGCAGCTTTGTACTTGCAAATACTTGTGAAGAATGAATGAAAATTGTTTGAAAATTCGTGGTGTTATTAAAAAAAAACACTTGTACAGCAGTTTGTGATTGTATTTAAAAAGACGTAAATACATATTCCGTTGTTGATTTAACAAAATGTGCCTTATTGTTTTAAAGTTATAACTCATTAGCATCATATCGGATGACTCGCGCAAGTTAGTAAATCAATTAAATAAAGACACAAATCAATATCGTAATCATGACGGTAAAATGAACTGTATTGCTTACAATATATGAAGACCGCGTGGTTGAGTGGTTAACAAGAGACGGTTGTATACTAAGTCTTATCCGTGATAACTCGGACTTGTTATCACCATCATTAAAAAATAGTTTTATTAGATTATATTGAAACCATATGTAAAAATATTCATAGTTTTTTTAATCTCTATACGAAAAAGTACAATTAAAGCTATTTAAAGTAATTTGCACAAAAATCGTAAATACATTGATACATTGAATCAGGTCTAGAGAAGGTGCATCGAAAACTGCATCCCAGTCAATGTTACCATGATCAGCCAAAAAACGCTGTTTGTCGATGCCATTGAGATTTCGCTGCATGATTACTCGAGGTTTAGGTTTGGGACATCGAATTTTATACGAGATGTAGACAAGGTCGTGGTATGAAAAGGCCTCGGCGGAGAATTGACCATGAGCGCTAACGTGTTCGACGGAGGAGACTATACCTAGATCCAGTAAGTAAGTGCTTTTGTTCAATGTTTTTTACTGGAAAAGTCAAACTTTGAGCCGTCTCATGATCAGATAAATAGATATGGTGTGTTAGGCCTTTCGCGTTTTTCATATTACTTACAATGTGATCCAAACATGAGTTCTGCCTTGTTGGCTCATTAATATGAGAATATAAATTATGATTTAATAGAATTGCATTATAATTTTCACATGTCAAATTATTTTTTAAAATGTCAATATTGATATCACCTGTCACTATAATTCTTCTTTTTTTTGTTATCAATTTGTGTAAAATTAATTCTAACTTATTAAAAAAAATTAAAACATTTGACTTTGGGATCCTATAAATACATATAATGAAACATTGTAACTTCGGTATATCAACACCACAACATTCGAATGAAGTTTCGATTGATATTTTATTACAAAGTTCGATAGGATAAAAATCTAAAAAAATCTATACCTTTTTTAACTAATATACACACACCGCCTCGTTTTTCGTTCAACCTTGAGAAGCTGCTCGCTAATGTATAGTTATTTAAGTAAATATTCGGTTCATCTCCCGACTTAACAAATGTTTCGGAAAAACAGATAACATTTGGTAACATATTTTTTTCACATAACTCATTGACACAAATCTCAACTTGGTCCAATTTATTTAATAATCCAGCAATATTTTGGTGAAGTAATATGGCGGTTTCGGACGCTAGTACAAAAGGTTTATTTTTATTGTTATTGTCGAAAAAAAAATACAAGAGTTATATAACCGAATCAGATCTGTGATTTTTTTTTAAATAAAAGGGTATAGTTCCTTTCTTAGGGGGAAGTTTATGTTTATAAATATTATTAAAAATACCAGAGTTATTTGCAGTTATAGCCGAATCAGATCCGTGATTTTTTTAAATAAAAGGGAATAGTTCCGTTCTTAGGGGGAAGTTTATGTTTATGAATATTATTTATACGGTTACAATTATTCCTTACAATGTTTTTAATGCACTTTGGTATATATATCCTATCATAATAAAGTGAATCAATTTTAATATTTATTTTTGGCATAAATGATGAAGGTTGAAACGGTGATAATAATTTCCACTGTTCATATCATCACTGACTTGTATAAAAGTGCAGTTTTTAAAGTTATAACATATATTTTTTACAATGTGATTCAACATAGATTCTTTTAGAGTTTTGTTACGTATTACACTCAATATAATAACATTTAATTTATGTATACTTTTTAAAGCAGCAGATAATTCTATAAAAGTAATATTTGGATTAGTGTCGTTTTCGCCTATGGAGATGATCAGGAAATCATCAGCACAATCCACTAGTTTATTACAGTTCTTCAGTATTTCTCCGCTTGTTGCGTAAGATTTCGTGATCGAGTATATTTCATATTGTTCAAACGATGTGTTTTCTCTTGATTTAATAAGCATGGAAGCTAATCCTCGGCATAATTGGCCCCCTAATATTGTGATTTTATGTTTGTGGCGCTAAACAGAATAACAAGTAGCCCCATCTAGCGACACTCTGGCGATTTGATTGCTTTCTATATTTGATTCCGAGTTAAAGTACTGATTGTGAATCATAGGTGATTTAGTTGGTGTGCTTTTGTTCGCATTATTGTTTGACATTCTATGTAGGTCATGTTTAGTGAGGTTTAATTTTTCCATTTGTATTTTTTTCTGTGAAGTTATATGGATATCATTTATTTGTTCTGTGCACATATTTAATAATAATAATAATAATAATAAAAAATAATAAATACTCTTTATTGCACAAACCATATTAAAATTACATTAACAAACATAAATGAATACATGAAAATGTACAAAAGGCGGCCTTATCGCTAGGCAGCGATTTCTTCCAGGCAACCTTGCATTGGATGGAGAAAAAAAAAACAAACATTAGATGGCAGATTGTGCATAAAAAAAATTAAAAAAAAAAGTACATGGAGACAAACAAAATGCTCAAAACACAAGTGACAACCAGAAAGCGAGAAGTGTAAATAGAAAAATAGAAGAGCAGGCTAAACGTTAGAGAGGAAATGGGATTTTAATTGATATTTGAAGGAGTTTAACGAATTCGCCCGTCTGATAGATTCAAGTAGAGAGTTCCACAGTTTTATAGCGTGTACTGTAAAGGATTGACTATTGAATTTAGTGAGATTGGGAGGAATGAACAATCGTAAGTTATTAGAAGAGCGAAGCGAGAGATCATGCGTAGATGAGAGAAATTTTGAGAGAAATAGTATATATTGGTGTACACATACTATTTTCTTGAGTTCGATATTTTCTAATGAAATTTTTTCTATTTCCAAGTGAGCGACTTGAAGTTTAGTTCTCAGTTCTTTAATTTCTGCCTTTAACTCGTCAATTTCTTCCGTGTTTATATGACCCGATGATAAATCCGGCAAACTTTTCGATTGATAGTCTGAGCCGGTGGATAAAAATGATGTGTTTAAAAATGATGTGTTCAGTGATTCGTTTACGACGGCTTTATTCCGCCGTATTGTGATATTTTGATCTTCCATATTGATGTACTGAGTCATAAAATTACAGTAAGTAATTGTTTCAGCCGTATAAGTATGTTTTATATTTTATTGTTATTCATTAAGTAACAATCGCTGCAGATTATAATAGCGACCTCTAGTTTTGTCATAAATGAACTGGTTGACGTCTAAAATTTTCAAATTGTGCAACGAAATATCAAATGTAATATTCTATTTTAATTTTTTTAAACTTCTGTTCGAATATCACATGCGGTAATGTCTCTTCGTTACGTAATAATAACAGATCGTGGATTCATTCCCTAGTTAATAAATCGATGAAATTACTCACAGATTGTTAGGTATGTTTTCTTATTAATATTTTTACTGTCCTTGCACTGCCAACACAAATCCCTGTCCTTAGGGCTTAGCACAACGATTTGCACACTGTTTCACAATTTTATTTTGGTTATAAATATTAAAAAAAGATAAAAATTCATACAGTCCATATCACTACTGACATGTTCATCGTAAATATGTTTTAAATTAGTATTGTCCTGTTTAAAAACAACTTACAAATTTGCATTGTCTCGAATTAATTGTTTTGGAATTCTTGAGTAAGTTTGATATAAATAAAAACAGACAATTTCTTTATGACGACCCATACAAAAATAATTTCGTAAATTAGACTGATTTTCACAAATAACATCATCAAATATCATAATAGATCGTGGTAATGCTTCATTAGGATGTAGAAGTTCCTTGTCATTATAGAACACAAAATACTTTACTCCCGGTATCCTTTTTAATATGTGACAATATATAATATTTTGGTTGAAACGAAGTCTTTGAATAAAGGTATATATTTTAAAATTTTAATCCATTGTGATGCAATAGCTAACTGAGCATAACATTGGTTTTTCCACAATTTGAGGGTCCACTTATTATACAGCGAATATTATTTGGTAAAAGAACACTATGTCTTGCCACTGATCCAGATTTTATATCAATATTAATATTAGTGATTTCTAAGCCCAGCGGTTGTTTAATCAATTTCATCTTTACGTTTAAAGATATAAAGAGACACTTACGCTATATATATATATATATACACACATACACACACACACATTTGTTTATTTATTTTTTCACATATATATCATATCTTTACAGTTTATTCATGTATCCATTTATAATAAATTTATTGTAATAATATTTACTTAACAACGGTTTAATATAATTATTTACACATTGTTTAAAGATGTGAAATAATACAATAATACATGCATTTCGTATTAACACAATGTATCACAATGACCCCAGGGTAATGTAGTACTTTGATTTGCCATTATTTGTCTCTTGTCATCATTCCTATTAAGAACAAGTTTTTTAATTTCTTGTGAATATATGATGTGTTTCATTGACCGTATTACATTTACATTAAATTTAATGTTTAGGTTATTATCCAATGTGTTTTTATATTGAGTTGGAGTGATATGCTTAGTGACATATTTGGAAACACCCTTGGCTTCTTTAATTTGACTTTTTTCGCTTTGTATACAGTATAGTTTAGCTCTTAAACCTATAAATTCTTTTATTACATCACCCCCCATTTCATCCTTAAATAAACCAGGGACTTAGCGTTTATTTGTGGAATGTTAAATAGTACGTTATATTTCTCAAAATTACTAGTATCAAACTCTGACAAACGTGCTTGCATATCTTTATAAAAATCTTCTGTTTCTATTAAATAAAGGAGACTGTCAGTATCTGTATAACATAAGTTTGCTTTACTGTTATATTGCGTTTTAATAAAATCGTAATGAAAACTATATAAATATTGTTTAGCATATTCTAATACAGAGACTCCTATATAAATCGGTCTGTCTAATATTATTTTTGATCGTTTTAGTTGAATAGCTACAACATTTCTAGAAAAAATGCTAATACTGTGTTAATCAGGCTTGGCAATCAATTTTTCAGCCCCATTCTTTTTATTTGTTTTATTATTGATATCACTCTAGGTAGTAATCAGTAATCACTTTTACATCTACTTGTTTTCGTTTATTTTCGATAGTTTTTCCAAATATCATTTATTATTTAATAATTTAAAAAAGTCTTTTTCAAATGTAGACGTACACTCTTGACGTAGACGTGTATTTAGTAATATATCGTATATTTCGCTAAATAACATTCCTGACGAAATTTAATAATACGTTGTATTTTGTTAAATTAAACCATGTTTTAAACATTCTTTAAGATTCATGTAATGTATAACATAATTAAATTTATTATACAGACTTGCTATATTTTTTTTTTGTTTTTCCACCAGGTGGGACAAATTTCTCTGGAGCAAATGGTAAATCACTATGACTTTGATGTAAGTGATCTGGATACAGTAAATCCACCTCTAATATATAACCATAATCGGAATCATTGGATATATTAAATACATTGAAATTGTTAACTTCTCGAAGAGATAAGAAACTAAAATCTTTTATTGGCATTTTTTGCATCATTGCATAGCCATACAAATTATTAAAATCTAGATATATTAAAAAATTAGACTTCTTAGAAGGATCATAATCAGATAGATATGTATTATTGGCTTTAGCATATCTCAGAGAACATTTCGCCAAACCGCCTCGAATACCTCTTTCTAACATTTGATAAATATCAATATCACTAACTAAACCTAATACCACACCAGTATGTAAAAGCATGGCATCCCAACTCAAACCAGGTGATGTAACATAAAATACAGGATCTAATTTATAATAATATAAAAGTGTTTCTAAATTTTTCGAAGATATCACACAGTAATAGTACATCACTTTTGAGATACAGATCTGTGTACTCTCCGAGAGAACGAATATTGAACAAATCCCAAATTTTTATAATTCTCCTGTATTCATCATCAGTTATGTGCTCGAATGTCTAACTATTAAATAAAATCGTTTTTTGATGCAATATGATTTTGATCAAATTTTGACCACGAAACAATATAATCATATGGATATACACCTTTTTGTGTAATTAAATCTAAACTGTTCTTTATTTCTGAATTCATTCGAGAGATGATGAAAATCTTCTTTCATGAGACTTTTACTCAACATATCTAAACTAGAACTGAGAAATAAGAATGAGTCGATAAATTTAATTTGAATGGATCTAGAATCATTCAATTTGAAGCATTTTGTAAAGGACAAATATTTTTCTTTAGTTTTTGCTATTATTGTGATATCACCAGGATACTTAACTAATTCCTGAATAAACAAGTGTGAGTCATTGTTTGTTAGATTATGAAATACTACTGGAATAAACACTTTGGTTCTAAATAAGATATTACATTTGGAATGAGCAGCTCCACGATATTCAGAAGTAGTATGATAGTGATCATGTACTTTATCGGTTCCTATGAGTATTTTTTTACAAATATGACAGTTTGATGCGTTAGCATATTTAGTCTCTTGTTGTTTAGTAAGAGGTTTCATGACTTCATGACTACGCAATATTTTGTCAATTAATATTGAGTCCTTAATTAAACGTTTAACGAATACTTTTGCAGAATCGGGACCTCTGTATGAAATGTATTTATTTAAATTAGTGTCATGTGCACAACATACTTTATAAGCAAAACAAGAAGGTTTATGTATTTTGTAATTTGTGATATTTTTGGTACTGCTGTCACAATGATTATGTAATAAAGTTTCAAAATCTGCATATATCACAAATTTATGTTTCTGCTGTCTTTCAAAATTTGTAAAAAACACTTTGCTATCTTTATATCAGGCAATACAGTTACAGTTTTCGAACAGTAATGAGAATCAAATAATAAATTTGAAGTAAAAAATTGTAAACAAGATTCACAAAAATAAGTTTTCCCACGATGTTTAGTTACTTGTCTACGTACTAATCGTTTCAAATCTTTTATCAAGCAATAGTGACCGCATTTCTTATTTTCTATATACAGTAAATTAACATGGTTTTTTCTCTTTTTATTTGATATATACAGACGTCCCGTTATTTTATTTTTCCTGTCAATACCATACACAGTTACACTTATTGTTTGATTATATTTTTCAAATAATTTTATGTCACGGGGGGTTAGAGGAAAATTCATTCCTCCAGTTTTTAGTACAGATGAATAATATGGATATGAACTGGTTCGATTCACACTTTTATTACTTGGATATAATGCCGCCACTATACTCCACGCAAAACAATAATTATCATTATTTCTGATGTTAAGACAACTCTTTGTATTTTGTATAACTTTCGGCAAATCTAAGTTACTACCACTTCGTAGTGGGGAATATTTATTTATATTCACCTCTAGATGGCTTATAGACCTAAATGACCAATCGGATTCACAATGTTCAAATTCAGATTTTTTTTTTTAAAGTATTGCTTACACTTAAATACAATTTATTAATATTTGTATTGCAGAATACTGATTCATACTTGGTATTAAATGACTTTATTTGGAGTTGGTCTGTTTTAGGTAAAGTGAATTTGGTAAATAATTCAAAATTCACTTTTAAGGATCTGTGTTTGTCCAATTGTAAACCTAATATTTTTTTAACGACTTGTTCAATATCACTTAGAAACTGTTCTGGTGTTAACTATTTATGATTATGAAATATATTTACTCTGTATGTGATAATTCTGTTTTTAAAAGCAGTAGCAATTATGTCTACGTTTTCGAATTCCGTTTTTAATATACAATTATTTTTTTGTAAATTAGTTCTTCAATGATACTTATAACTAAATTTGTCAAGGCTGATGTTACATTCACGGCATATAACACTATAACTTGGAACCCTTTCTGAAAAGGTAAACAAAAATATTATTTAAGCTTTGAGTATATATTTATTTTATTAAGAGTCTAAATAATAGTAGAATAAAAGTTAGTAACTAAAACACTGAATAACATTTTAACAAAATGAATAAAAAAAATAATAATATAAAAAATCAAATCAAATCATTGAATACATTTAACGAATGACTAAGGATGATTTGATGTGCTCACGAAAGATGTTGGAACATCTTTGAATTGGCCTTTTATTTCTTTTAGGAATTTAACTAAATGATGCCATGCGGGGGTGTTATCATCGTTTTTAGTTTTCAAGGTGAGAATGGATTTACGCCACCTTTGTTTTGGCGTTATGTTTTCTAATTCTTGACACATATATATTTTTAAATCTATATAATGTGTTCGTTTCTGATTATTTTTGTACTGCTTAGTGTACCCGTTTGAAACGCGTCGGTATATACTATATGATGTAAGATCGTCTGTACCATAGGTTCTATCTATTACACCATCACTATCATCGCCGAGGATATCTTTGGCTGTGGTAGTAACATTTATTGTTGACCAAATAAATGTATAAAGTCATTCTTGATATTAGTTTTATAGCAATTACTAAATACAATAATTACCTTTTCAGTTTTCTCTTAGTATCGCTTTCATCATGTTTTCTCTTTCCCTTTCCCTGTAGAGCTGATGATGGACCGGGCTCCGGTTCAGTAACAACCGGTGGAGCTGATGATATATGTTTTACTGTCGCGATACTTGATGATGAAGACGAACATGAAGAACTCGAAGATGTTGAGGAATCATATGCATCGTCGTTGAAAATATTGTTCTTAGACCTGAAAAAATTATAATAATTAATAACACTTTCAACATTAAGTAAGTATATGTATTTATATTACCACAGATAGAAATAATTGTTTATTCAATGATTTTGTTATTTTATTATAATAATTTCAGAGTATTTAGATATAGTTACTTGAGTATTTAGTGGTCAAGGGACTTTATGTATAAGAAAAAAAAATGAGTATCATATACCCAAATAATTAACTGAAACTATAGAGTTTGAATATCAATTAAACAATAAATAAATAAATACTTACATTCTCAGGGAAGTATGTAGCGTTTTAAATTAAAATGAAATTCAATGAAATTCTGGAAGCGCACCAAGATAACTGATGATTTTATCGTAATTGAGAGGATATATTTATAAGTTTCGAAGGCTTTATATGTGTTAATCTTTATCATACAGACCACGAAAATAGCAAGCTAAGCAAAAAGTCAAATTGATATTATCGATTGTTGAAATCGAACACTCACACAAAGATAAATTAAAAGGTAAATTTATATTGCAACAGCAGACTGCAGATGTTCTATTGGAATGCATCTTTAAAAATGATAATAAGAAACACATGATAAAAACATAGCATTTTGAACTTTATAATAACATATCTATGCATTTATATTTAATTGGATACATACTTAAAATGTCTATTTACGTCAATAAAAAAACTTTATTTTAAAATAAATTTTATAGTAAGTGGTTGTGTATTTTGAGTAAATTAAGCAATGTCGGTGAGTAATAATATTTGACATATAAAGTAACTTACCTTGAGTAATCAATAATTACACAATATTTTTCATTCTAGGATTCTGAAGAACTTTTTCCATTCTTGTCTAACGTACCCGTGGACTTGAATCGCAGTCCAGATTTAACAACTCAAGATAAATTTGTTGGTCCTATCAGACACACAAGAAGTCGTAAAAGAGATGCTTTTTTAAAAATTATGCAAAAAGGCTTCTAAAATTATCAAAATAGAAGTATATGAAGCACCAGAAAATAATCAAAGCCATTGTGAACCAGAGATAAGTGTCCAATACGTAGCACAAAATATATTCGATAATATATATTGTGATATAAGAAAAGTATTAAAAGACATTCATGATACAATGTATTATTAAGTTAAGTTTCAACAGTACTTGTATACATTTGAGTAATAAAGTTATTAACACATTCAAAGAGTTTTCTTTTATTTATATGTCGGCAAGAAGGCGCTTCGATTGTGCAAAACGCCATCTGTCACCTGCAGCTGTCATCTGTCAAGATCTATGGTGCTTTGCGAAACGTCAAGTTATGACATTGACGGCTGGCATCGCTTGGGAGTGGTCTATGCTTGTTCGAAGATGGCACTTTACGTTGTGAGGCCATATTGAGCGGACGCAAGCGCAGAACTCTCCGCGTTTCGTATCGCAATCCGTTTGCATCGCGTTATTATTAATGTACTCCGATTAGATAACTAAGTAATTCAATTAAATAACTGATTTGTGATCTATCTGCGATCTTATTTCGAAGGAATATCTCGAACAGTAGTCAGATGGCAAATGTTGATTAACCTAACTTTCCGCCGGTCCCGCCTGACTTTCCGACATATATAATAATAACTAATAAATATAATATCTATATATATCACATTGTTAGGATCTCAAAACTAAGTTGTTAAAAATGTATTCTGTAAAAAGAAAATCTGAAACAATGAAGGTTGATACATTTTGATTTAAGTTGATCCGAATCGGTGAGAAATCGGGTCTTAAAGATTTTTAACCGACCTGTGAGTCACTAAGCCATGTAGGTTGACAATATACGTGGAGATTTCAACTGGACATCCAGAAAGTAAATATCAATAATATTACAGATATCAATTGAATGATCATGATTAAATGATAATAGTAAGAGTATAAAATTGGGAATAGGTCTGGATGAGGGGACTGACACTGGTAACGGTCCTCTAGACCTATTCTCAATTATAATGTACATATTATACTCTTTATTGCACTTAAAATTTTACATAAAACAAGTAAATAAATTTGTTACAAAGGTGGGCTTATCTCTAGAAGAGATCTCTTCCAGCCATCCTAGGAGTCGTGGAAGAGTAAGATGTAAGCGGGTGATAGAAGTGCAGTTAAAATATATTACGGTTGGAAAAAAAATATATATATAATAAATAACAAAAATAGATATATATAATACATAAAATATACACTACATATATACATACGTATATAAGGTACGATGAAAGCAGTGTCATGAATACGAACATTGTTCCAGAAAGTAGTCTTTAAGTTTAAATTTGAAACACATGATGGAAGGGCAATCCTGAATATTCAAGGTAAGTCTGTTCCATAGTTGAACACCACGAACAGAAAAAGATTTGAGGCGGAAATTGGTGTTACATTTAGGTAGCTCAAGAGATTTGGTGACGCAGGGACGCCTAGGATGGTAAGGAGGAGGAAGCTTCTGGAAACGGGAACTAAGGTATTGGGGTGAATTAGGATCTTTAAGGATTTTAAATAGGAATGAAAGGATGTGCATATCACGGCGAAGACGGATAGGAAGCCAGTTCAGTTGAGCACGAAAAGCAGAGACATGGTCATATTTACGTAGTCCAAAAATGGACCGAATTGCAAGATTCTGAAGACGCTCAAGCTTATTCAATTGATCTTCATTCACATCTAGATAGCAAATGTCAGCATAGTCAAGAATGGGAAGCAGAAGAGATTGCGCCAGCATAATTTTGGTTTTAAAGGGAAGAAAAGATTGGAGTCGCTTGAGAGAGTATTCGTTTACTTACCTCAGCAATTTGCGGAGACCATGATAAAGTGCTATCCATAATCAAACCCAAGTTTTTTATCTTATCAACGAATGGAATTGGTATTCCATTGAATAAAATTGGAGGTGTACAATCCCACTCAAGATTACTCTTCAGTCTGCTACTACCGACAATCATGGGCTGGCACTTTTCTGGATTGACTAAGAGACCATACGAAGTAGCCCATTCCTGTATAGAAACAAGATCCCTATTTATAGAAGCGATGGTGTCCAGAGCATCGGGGATGGAAAAGTGTTTATAAATTTGGAGGTCATCTGCATAAAGATGAAAAGGATAAGAAATAGCGGAAGAGATATTGTTTATGAATATGGAGAAGAGTAAAGGTGAAAGAACTCCTCCTTGCGGTACACCAGCTGACAAGTTCAGCCACTCAGAAGAAGCATCATTGAATATTATGCACTGAAAGCGATCGAAGAGATATGATCTGAACCAATCAATCACAGGTGTGGAAATGTTAAGCAAACGGAGAAAACCAAGCAGAATATCAAAGTCAACACAGTTAAATGCACTGCTGAAATCCAGTAGAACCATAGCAGTAAGTTTGGTATTGTCCATAGCAAAACGAATATCTTCCGTGATGTTCAGCAGCGCACCAACCGTGCTGTGTGCAGGGCGGAAACCAGATTGGTAAGGACATAATAAGGTATTAGATACAAGGAAATGGTAAAGTTGATGGTGAACGATGGATTCAAGGACTTTAGATAGTATTGGAAGAATAGAAATAGGACGATATTGTGAAAGTGAGGATGGATTAGGAGTTTTGGGAAGAGGTATGACATGGGCTTTTTTCCATGATTCTGGAAAGACATTGTTTTCCAAAGAGAAATTTACAATGTGTGTGATAATTGGAACAATGTCCTCCAGAACAGGAAGTATCATGTCAAGACTAAGGCCATCACTCCCAATCGCCTTAGTAGAAATGGATTTGATACTCGTTGTGACATCTTCCTCAGAGGCTATACTGAAAGAAAAGGGGGGAAAGTTATGGGTGTTATCAATGCTGGACAATAAGGAGAGTGTGCCAGACTTCGTGGCCATATCTAGAGTTAGGGGAAGTGAAGTGAAGTGCTTATTGAGTGCATTAAGGTCGACGATACTCTGGCTCACATTCGCGGTCTTACCAACGCCTAGCGATCTTAAAAAACCCCACAAGTGCTTCTGGTCTAAGTTTTCAATTTGGTCGTGAATATATTTGCGCTTAGCATCCCTACACATTCGATTACAAATATTGCGCAGCTTCTTGTAAACTTGCAAATGTTCTGTAGATGGTATTCTTTTTTGTCTACTTTTGGCCCGGTCTCGGCTAGCCATTACTTTTCGGATAGCTGGAGTTAACCATGGTGCGGGCACATGTTTGACGCGAACCGGGCGTACCGGAGCATGTACATCATAGATGTTCGTGAGAGTAGAAGTGAAGTAGTCTACCATAGCATCGACATTATTATTAAGTAGCACTGGTGACCAATCTATATTTCTTATGTCATCTCTCAAGCGTTCCAGAACCATTTGCTTAAAGTTGCGAAGAAGACGTGTTCTAGGTTTTATTTTGGGAGGGCGCACTTTAAGCGACAGAAAAACTAAGTCATGATAGGAAAAAGGAGCAGTCATTTGTCCATGAGTACCCACCAGATCAGGATGCGATACAATCATACGATCTAAAAGCGAGGGTTTACAGTTTGGGAAATAATGAGTGGGAGACGTCATTGGAAGCACGTGAAGATTAAGAAATAATAGGAGATGAACTAGTTTACTTGCCCTAGCATCTTGTTTCAACAGACATGTGTTAAGATCACCCATGAGTATGACGTGATCAAAAACAGGGACTAGGTTTTCGAGAATACTTTCCAAAGAGTTGAAGTAATCTATTTGATCATTGGGACTATACAAAGCCCCTAAAAGAAGTTTTTTGTGATGGACGATTACTTCCACGAAAATATATTCAATGGAGTTGGTGTAGTTAGACGGTAAGCAACTGATTACCTTGGCCGGTATGCGATCACGCAGATAAACACCTACGCCACCACCACCCATGCCAGTGCGATCATTGCGAAAAAACTTATACCCTGGAAGAGAACAACATGAAGAAGGGAGCGAAGGTTTTAACCAGGTTTCAGAGATAAGTATACAATCGACTACGCCGTTGCCAAAAGATGCAAGGAGATCGGTATGGTGTGCCAGAATACTTTGCGCATTGATATGCACGAAGGAGAGGAATTTTGAATTTTGACCAAACGTCTCTGATAGCTTGACGTCTAGCGGTTTGAAATCGGTCAAGGAAGAAACGCTACTGTTAGCACTCTCGTATTCATCAGACGAACTAGAAAAATAATCATCGTATAAAGCCATATTCAATAAATAAAATCAATTATAAATATAATATAATAAATAATACTAATACCTAAAAAAAAAAAATACTAAAACCAAAAAAAAAACATCTCACACGTGCCTAAGTTGACTAGAAAAAGACAACTCCATATACCATGGTAACATATTATAACATTTACAACATAACGAAGCAAGAGGAAACATAAAGACATTTATACTTTAAACTAACAACAATACATTAAACATAAAAGCAGTGTTTCGGATGGAAAGCAAAGGATTATTTAATACTACTTTCTAAACGTGGCTGTATGTCCTAACATTTCTTTACCTTCCGTGTTAAAAAAGCGTTCAGTTTGATATGACAGTGACACTACTTGACTTTGACATCGCAAAAGCTTGTGAATACAAAACAAACAAATTACAGGGTAATCAACGGATGCAAATTCAGTTGAAATTTATATATAGAAAAAATATTTTCTAAAATAATAACATACCGCCCAATTTGTAGTGATAACCCGGCAAAGTAACGGAGCACAAACAAAAGGATGATGAAATCAAAAAGTTCATATTTTATTATCAGTAACTTCTGCCGACTGAACCGGGCACTTTAGAATAAGCTGTTGGAGTTCACTGTTAGAGAAGATCTTCCTTCGAGTGCCGTCTGACAGCAACACAATG